AAAATTACACTCCGTTTAAAGATCTGTAATTACACAGGTTAACATATGTTATGTCACATCAAAACCGTTGTCTGAATTTTGAGCAGTTCAGAACAAGTGCTCAGTAAAAGCTGCAGAAGCACTTTGTTGGCTTGATTTATGTGATAGCTTTGCCTTTTCTGAGTCCTGCAGTGAGGGATCTAGATATGCTTCTACCTACCTTTGTGAAACCAGGCTGTGTGCTTAGCGTAGTTAAGGTTTCAGTAGTACCTGACAGTAAATATTTTCTGTCTAGACCCAGATGAACTCAGGTGAAAGTGAGGAGTGGGCTGAGAGATTTTGCTCTACTCAAGGATCAATGCCAGAGAGTTGACTTAACCCGTTTCACCCATGGACATACACATTATCCATGTTATAGAAGGGTTGCTTTTCCATGGGAAGAACAGCAAGCTGTTTGCTGGCTGTCCAAATATGGAAGCAGAGAGCCAGTCCTTGGAAGGATTTGGAAGATGTCTGCGAAAAGCCACAGCATGCTGGGGACGAGCCAGTGGTGGCTGGGGTCTGTCCTTTACCAAAAGGTGGCAGCTCATAGTCGCAAAAGAGCATCTCTCGGGGAACTGGCCTTGCCATCTCCTTGCTTTTACAGCCATGCAGGCAGTATAGACCTTTTAATTTCCATTGTGTGTACAGGGCATAGTAAATGTGTTAATGTAAGAATTTATAAGCATCGAGATACCTGTATGAATTGGGAAAGTGCAGAAAGTGTAGAAGTGTGATGCAGTTGCACAAAAAGGTTTTCTTTGTGGTACTGTTTGTGGCATGTTGTAAGATCACAGAATCTGCAAGGAATTTTGCTTTAAAACAATTTTTGGAGTTAGTTTAATTCAAAATGTATGAACAGAGCAAGGTCAACCATACACAAGGTCACTAAAATCCTCAAATGGAGCAACTAGTGCAAGAAGTGCTCCCTTCTCACATGTCTGCAAACACATTGGTGCTTACGTTGTTCTTTGATAAACTATTTATATGATGAAGTATGTGTTTAATTTATTTCCATCCACTGTTGGTAGAGCTGCTCTCTGATTTCCAATAACATGGAATTACTTTGTATTTCAAACGAAAAAGAAAAGCTTTATTTCCACTATAAAAGTAGAAACTTCTTAATTTCTCTCTAAGCACGTTGCATGCAAGTTGTTTGCTCAGATGTATGGAATGTGAATGAAAATCGATATATCACCATGTCTTTTTTTTCACACCCTCCTTTCTTCCACCCTTTATTCTTTTCCTCTAAGTGCTTTTATATCTGACTATTTTTCAGTTCAGTGTGTTTTGTGAATCTGACTTCTCTGCTCAGAGCACTTGTCCCATGAGGACTGTTGGCTTTTTTTGCACTTGCTGCATTGTCTAACGACAAGTGCGTTCCCACATTTTGAGAATCATCTGGCATCTTTTTTCATAACAATTGAACTTGAAATAGCCTGGGGAGGAATGTTTAGGGCAAAACTCATGTGAGTTTGGAGACTGAATTCTAGGCTGCCTTGCAAAAATTTTTAATGTATGCTCTTAGGACATAAACTGTGTTCAGCTCTGACTAAGCCAGAGATGTATTTATGAGCTTTGGGTAGGTTTTGTAGTTGTGAGCTACCTTAGTTAGGATGGTGGTGTGTGGTGTCCTGGAATGTGTATTTATCATGTGTCTTAGCTGTTTATTTGCCTGAATCTTTTACCAAAGAAGAGCTGGGTTTAAGTTCTGCCTAAGTGTGGGCAGCGTGATAGTTCAAGAACTGACTTGAAGAGAGTTCATGTAAATCTATGCATGTCACCATCACAGACTTATGCTTGCTTTTCTGAGTCTTGCCAATAAATGGGTATTGAGATCTTCTAACAGCAGTACCTTGAGCTTTTAGGACAGAAAAGCTCATTTGAGGTGAGTTACAGTGGGAGTGGAATTGAGGGTCTTCGTTCTAGCTTCTGCTCAAGTTATGCTGATGACAGATTCTCTGCCAAGATCATATTGTCCAGTTTAACAAGACTAGTTCTGCCAGTGTAATGGGAGAAGACTGCCACTGCAATGAGGGTATCGATACGTGTTGATGTGGCTCTTGTACTGCAAGCCTGTGGCACTGTTCCGTAGCTGGAGTCTACGTACTTTACTTCTCTGAAACACAATCATAGAATAGTTTGGGTTGGAAGGGACCTTTCAAGGTCACCTGGTCCAGCTCCCCTGCAGTGCGCAGGGACATCTTCCACTAAATCAGGTTACTCAGAGGCCTGTCCAGCCTGACCTTGAATGTTTCCAGGGATGGGGCTTCCAAAGAGAAACATGAGTTGCAGCAAACAGTTAACAAGCAAAAACCTTTTCTGGTAAGTGGCTGTGAAGTGATCTTCTCCAGAGCTGATGCGGAGCGTTCAATGAGTGGGGAGGCCATCGAGAGCCCGGGGTAGTTGCCTTGGCTGCTCTCTTTGACTTTCACTAAATAATGTGCACTTCTGTATCTCAGAAGTGAATGTAGGTGTGTACCCATATTGCTGCATAGATTAGATAAATTCACAGTGATATTTGAAGCAAAGGCTCTAGCTTGTGCTGGTATTTTAGTGATTTTTCTCCCACTGGGAGAGCAGTAAACAGTCTTCGATTGTAAAGATGGGACTAGAAATTGAGGTCACAGTATAATATGCAAGACCTTTTTTTTTTACCTTGTTTACTTTGTGGCAGGCTAAGTATTTCATAGCAAAAGTAAAATTTTTGTGCAGTTTGTGAAATAAATAATAGAGATCCTGTTAAAAAATGCATTGGCTGGCTTCCTTATTTTAATATTAATAAGACAGGTTGCTACAATAAAATTAGCTCTGCATGGTGTTTGTCACTGTACTGCCAAAGCAGTCGAGTCTAATGCCATTCCTTCCTGAAATGAATCCCCAGGAGAGCAGTATTTGTGCTGTTCTGAAACCTCTAACCAGAGAAGTTGGAGTTGAACTGTAAATTATGGAAAATGCGGATTTTAATCTGGGAATCCCAAGTCTGTCTTTGGCCTTGCGGCTTTCTGGCTGCTTATGTGAACTATTTTAATGTTTACACATGCGTTTTCTCTGCTGTAGTGACTAGTATCCAATTGCTTGGCTCATCGTGTTTATGGACAACTTGGTAATCGTATCTCTGTGGTTGCATAGTCCACAAACTTCTCCTGGTGGGGGCAAGACAATCTGACCCATGAAGGTACTTAGCTAGGATTGCAGCGCCCTAGGACACTGTGCCTTTTGATTTAGGGGCAAGGGGCTGAAGGCATCTGAAGAAAGAGAGTAATGTTGCGGTTGGCACAAAGGAGATACTGTATTTTTATTTTTTTTAAAGATGAATCTGTGCCTTTAAAAGGACAAGCCCTTTACCAACCCTGCGCCCCTGTGATTTATGGCATACATTTATCTGAGCCACAGAGCAAAGGGAAAATCTTTATACGTTTTGTTATTTGACCAGAACAGCATTTTTGTGCTTATAAATAATATGAACACTCATTGTATTAGAGACCCTGTCAACCGAGGTGACATTTAGGTTAAAACAAGCATTAGGGGGTTATTTGATCACGGTTACAGATACACTTCTGCTGAAATCTGCATGTAAGGCAAGATTAAACTCTCTTCATTTTACAGTTTGCGTTTTTAGTTTAGGATCCAAATTGGAGTTACGTTCAAGCTTTGCCTGCCAGCTGAATCTTTGTAAGATTTTATTGAACATGGAAGCCTGTGAAGCAGGGAAGCACATACGTTGAAATACCATCAAGGTCTATGGGTCCAAATATCTGCTTAAGTGTTTCCTTGAAAACAGTCATGTTTCACATAGGCTTTAAAATTTCCACTTTAAAGAAATGTCTTAAGAATCCAGCAACTGGGAGACACTTCCTTAGCTGGCAAACACCCATTCTGAATAACCAGGCTTCTGCAATTTTATGTTATTTCTTCTACTTATAATATGGTGAAGTAAAAAACTTGGAATTATGGATTGTGTTTATTTTATGTGCTTTCTACGTTCTGGATGAAGTTGACAGCTCAGCCTTTTTTTAAGTGATGTTACTGGCATCAGAAGTAAAACAACTCATGTCTCCTTTTTAATTTGCAATCTGCAGGAGTCCTAGTTGAAAATGGAGAGAGATATCCTTTTGTAAGCATGAATGATCTCTTTGTGCAAAAGGCCGGAGGTGGTGGAATTCCCTCTATATTCCTTGGGAATGAGATACGAGAGAAATGTCTTGCTTGCTTTATGCCATGACCCAAGGAGAAATTTCATCCAGAAGATGGTGGTGGTGGTTGTTTTTTTTTTCTTTTTCTGCAGCAGAAGGAAAGTAGGGCAAGATGAACAAAAGAAAAATCTTTTGTTTCTCCCTTCTTTCCAAATTACTCTAGAGAAGGGCAAAACAAGGCAGGACAGGTGGTGCAACTGTATCTGGGAGTGCCTCTGTGGACTCCTGGCCAATGTTAGCTGGATGATTGTTTCTTTTCCTCTACCCTGCAAGAAGGGAAATGCTGGATGGAGAAAAGAAAATGGCTGGGTAAGCACAGGCCCACAATTTTGTCCGTATGTAAGGCATTGATTTACAAAATGGGGTCACCGAATACAGCCTGCAGCGCTTTCAGGAAGACACTGGAGAAGTTAAATCTGTTTTTTATGTTCTTTGAATTATTAGAATCTAGTCAAAATGTGATTTTTCCCATCTGGGTAAAGAATATGCTTGCTGTCTCAGGAACACTGTGTCTTCCTAGATATGAAAAATGAAAGACGGGAGAGAAGACAGCTCACCACGTCATAGCTGAGAAGCTGATATTTCTTCCAGACTTCAGTACTTGTTTAGGCCTGTCCCAGTCCGGCATTCTAAAAGATTGCGATTTCTCTCTACTGCTGGAACTTACTTCCTTTTTGTTTTTTTTTTTCCTCTTTGGTCTATTTGCTTTGTATGTTTTTCACTACTGAATGACTTGAAAGTGTTGAAGCTAGCCTAAAACATTTTGGTGTTCTCTTCTGCTTTTAGTGTGAAGATGATCTGCCCAACAGCCAGGAAGGTACAACTGAAATAGAACCTGAATACGAGCTAGAAGGCAGAGTAGATGTTCGACACCTTCAGTGGTTAAATGGGAGGCTGAGGTTCCAGTGGCGGAGTTTGCATGCTCAGCACCAAGAACAATGCAGACTTTTGCACAAGGTAAATGATTCTTCTAACTCACTATGGCATTGTTTATTATTTGAAAGCCTTGTCAGCTAGTGCTAAATGTACAAATTATTCTTGTTTGCTAGGTCTGCATTTTCTATAGATAAGAGTGAATTACTCTAAATATAAATCCCCTCACCTTGCCCTAGTGAGGCAGAACCATGAGAAAATGAAGTATGTACACTGTTTGTAAGGTTATAATTGTTGTATAAAAGTCTCTCTTGCAGGTTGGCACACTAGGCACTTCTGCAACCATAGGCTATCTCTGTTTTTCCTCAGAAAATGCGTGGTAAAAAGGAAGACAGAGGTTCTGGTCCCACAGACAAGAAGTAGTCACTCAGAACTAGAAGTTCTTTGGAAACGTGGATGCAAAATACTGAGCACAGATGTTGAAAGTAATAGCAGCAAAGTAAAATGCAGTTTCCCTTTCTGAAGTACTAGGGAACATCTGAGAAGAACTCAAAATCTACCTGCTTTTATATCAGGAATAAATAGTGGTCTCTACATTGCTAAGATTCCAGTTCTGTACCCATTTGTGAATAATGCTTATATGCTTGTCTGAAAATCAGACATCTGGGAGCATTGTGTCTGCTTAGGATGGAAGCAGCCTGCAGTCCCAAAGTTGACAGTGATGGTGACTGCAGAGACAAATGTAAAAAAAAAAAAATGGTTCTAAAGAGAACCCTAAAAGTTATTCAGTAATGTTTTTCCTAGGCCTCCTTTCTCCATTCATATCTCTTCAGGTAATTAACATGGAGCCACTTGGTATTGTACCCAGAACCTTCACAGAAAACCTTTTTGAGACTAAGAACAATTTTGAGAAATTTCTCCTCAAAGAACAACATTTATCAGAAAGTCGTCAGAATCAGACCAAGGTTTTGAATGAAGATACCTTCTTGGTTTTAATCCTGTGTCTGACAGCGATGCTGGAAACTATAACGAGGTTACATTTTGTTCTTTACATGAGTTGATTGCTGAGGAAGATGTCTGATTGACATCTAGGGAAAAGATCAGGTGCTGTGTGTGCAGCATCTAAAATAACCTTTTGCTTCTCCTTGCCCACTGCAAAAGTGCTTTCCTGATCTAGAAATGAAAATAGCGATTCACTGTAAGTGCAGGTGCAGTACTTGGCTTTTGCACTGACATTAGAGACAGCGATGTTGTTGGGAGAGGTGGCTTAGTGATATAAAACTCAAATGAAATGATTGGCATCTTCTCCTCTTGATAAGCTGCCTCTATTTAAGGTATGCTGATTTTTATAGTAGGTGAGGCAGATACCTCCATAACTCATCATCAGTGCTCTGATTTATGTAGTACTTGGCAGTAACAAATCATTAGGCAGCTTCAATACCTTAGCTTGCAGTTAATGAGACCAAGGAAGAATTAAGAGCAGGTTGAACTTGAGGCCTCAAGTACAAACAGAGCTACTCTTAATAGTCCAGATCAGGTGCTGAAATGATGAAGAGATGTGCTGATGGGGCAACACGCTAAACTTGTTGACAGGGGAGAAGATGACTTCCTATAGGGATTGTCCTTTGAAATAAACTTCGATTTTTAAATTTTTTTTTCCCCCCTGTGGCTATTCAAGGAAAAATGTTTGCTAAAGTTAAGACTGTTACAGTCAGGGTATAAGAGACAGGGTAGTCGTGGTCCAGGGAACTGCAGCATAATTTCCAGAATCTGGAAGAATAAGCAGGAGGGAGAATGAGAAACTGGATGAACAAAGAAATCAAAGCTGCTGTTAATGCCTTCTTCAACAGTCACCACTGGACTGAACTGAAAGCAGTAAGCTGTGCTGGTGATGATTCTTACGGTCAGACTGTGTTTGGTAGTGTACGTAGAGGCTGGCATCGCTGATGTATACATAGGAGGGTAGATTGGAGCCCAGCACCTCCATATGTGATCACACACTGATATTACGCATGCTCAAATACGTATGTGCAACTGTGGGAGTTCTGTTCAGAGCTGTAATAAAGTGGAGTGCTCTGATTTATATTTTAGTCTGAATTCAAAGCAGGAAAATTGAAAGGTAAAAGTGACTTTGGAAGGGGCTTCATTACAGTGCCACGTTAATGTTAACATTTACGGTAACACAAAATATAACGTACTTTTACAATTTAACAGCTGCATAAACAATAATTGGTATTTCCTGACCTTACAGAGAAATCTTGGCTGTGCTACTGTATTAATTTAAAAACTTTTAAACTAGTCTGCTATGTGTTAGAAGACTGAGCTGACCCAATATGACCTCTATATGACCTGCTGCTTTTGTCCTATAAACCACAAACACAGTATGCAAAAGGCTAATGAGTGTTATGTTTTTTAATTATGCTGACAGATTTACAGAGGACTTTCTCTACCAAATGATAATTATGGCTTTTACTTGCTCTGTTTAATAACTTAACAGGTTATGCATCTCAGCTAAGGAAAAGTCTTATTTACTGCTGATCATGAGCTATATTTTTTGCCAAGTAGTGGCGACACTTCCACAGATTTCATTCTGTGACTCACATAGACTCTAAAATAACCATATTCTCTATTTGGGGCTTTCTGAGAAAAACACATTGCACTTGGAAAATATATTCTTTTTCAAGAGATGTCTGCTTTTTCCACTCTGTATTTTTAAAGTATGGAGATTGCTACTGGAAGTAAGAATTGTATGTAGAGGATCCAGTAAGAGGCTACCAAGATAGTCAAGGACTAGCTAAGTTGGCCATGACCTCCAAGAATAGGCTGAGAAAGTTGGACTTGTTTGCTCTGGTGGAGAGGAGGCTGAGGGAGAGGTCACCTAATAGCTGCCTTCAGCTGTTTGACGGGTAGTTACAAGGATGGTAGTTACAAAGATGAATCCATGGTCTTCTCAGCAGTACCAGAAGACAAAGGAGAAGAGGCCACTGATGACAGCTTGGAAGGTTCAGGCACATTAGAAAAAGCTTCTCTGGGATGATGGCAGCGTTGGAGCAGGTCACTAGAGACGCTGAATCATCTCCATCCTTGGAGATTTCCAAGACTCCTGTACACGAAGTCGCAAACTGATGTTGTCAGTAGTCCTCGTTAGAGCAGGAGGTAGGGTTAAAGACCTCCAAAGGTCTTTTCTGTTTCTGTGATTTTGTGAAAAAATTCTGAATCGCTTGGGTGATCAGGGACTTGTACTTTCAGGTTAGAAGTGATGACTCATGTCTTAATG